CCGCTGTCCGGAGCCAAAGGGCCCTCGGTGTGATTCGGCGCCGTCGAAGCTGAGGGGGCCGCCGTTCCTGCCGCGGGGAGTGGGAAAGCGGCCGTTCCCTGAGCCGTCGTCCCGCTACCTGGGTCAGCGGGAAACCAAAACATTGACATGCAGGATCAAAACTGCAACGCAGGTCTTCGCAAACCCAGGTCGCCCAATATGCGTGCCCGCCTCGCGGCCACGAGCGGCTCGCTCACCCGGGTCAGCCAGAGGGGGTCTTCGCAGGATCCTGCAGGACCCGGTGCCCTGGCTGACCCCCGTTTGCGTTGACCCCGTCTCGAGGCTCCCGCATTGTGGCGGGGGGCTGGCCCCCCGTGCGCCATCACGAGGCCCGGCGGGCGCGGTCGGGATGAGGGCCGGGGGCGAAGGGCGGATCCACGAGGCGGCTCTCCGAGGTGCTCGCCCCGCAGGGGCTGGGCAGGCCTGTGGCGTCCAGGGCCGTCCAAGAGGCAAGCCATCGGATCGACAGCCTGGGGCCCAAGCGGGACGACCTGGCGCATCCGGCGCGGGGCGGTGCGGCAGTGAGAACCAGCCCACCTTGATGGGCCTGTTTTCCACAACCACCACCGCCATAAGTTGGAGGGGGGAAGGAGGAGGAGGAGGAGGAGGAGGAGGAGGAGGAGGAGGAGGAGGAGGAGGAGGAGGAGGACCCCCTCCCCCTCCAACTTAGGGTGGTGGTGGTGGTGGAAAACAAGCCCGTCACACCTGTCCAGGTCTGGCTGCGGCCTGCGGTCCGGGAGCAAAACCTGACCCCCCGCAGGCGAATTGGGACCGCAAGCGCGGCCGCAGGACATCGGGAGGCGGGGTTCAGGCGTGGGGCGTGGGCGTAGAGCTGGAGGCCCGTGCGCGGGCAGCAGCCCGCGAGGGGTACTGGCTCGGGGCAGCTCGCCAACTCCAGCGGGGGGGGGGAAATGGAAACCGTGAGCGCAAGTGGGACACGCCTCACCGCGACGCGGGGAAGCTGAAGCGGGGACGGGCCACTGGCTGTCGCACACAATGCATTTGAGGAAGAGCCGGACCCGCGAGCGATCGTCGGGATCGACGGCCGGGGGAGGGACCTCAGCTGGCGAGCGGAAGGCTTCCGGCGCCAACGGCGAGCGAGTGACAGCAGAGAGCTGGCTGGTCAACGGCGAGCGAGTGACAGCAGAGAACTGGCTGAAAGGATCGGCCACCGCAAGGACGTAAGTGCTCTCACGCTGCACGCGGCAACCGACGACCGAGGCTGGAGCGGTCCCGTACTGGACGGATGCTCGAATGCTGAGAGAGGAGCTGCACGGAAGTGGCCGCGTCCGCGTGGAATGGGGGGAGAGGGGGCTAAACACACAAGGTCATCAGGTTGCTGGTTTGTACTTCCGAGGCGAGGCGTCCGGGAACCACACAGAATCTCAAAACACCCCAAGACTGATCAAAGATGTCCCCAAGAGGTCCAATGACACTCCACGAGGGCCCTCAGACAGAATCAGAATCAAGGAGACGCACCAGGCTGCCCCAAAAACGATCTGATCAAGACGTTCCTCAGACCCCTATCAGGCCCAGGCCCTAAAGAGACCCGCAGAAACTTCAAGAGGCGCCCGAACACGGCCCAAAGACGCTCAGGGAGGCCTCCAGCGAATCCCTGGGATGCAAGCAAGCATGGAAGGCACAATAGATCACATTATTCATGTGTGTTTCCAATGCTTTTCGGCGTCTCTTGAAGCGTCCGAGATCCCGACAATAACCCCGAATCTCCCCAAGACAGGCCCAGACAATCCGAATACACCCCAAGACCGTCCAATGACATGCCAAGAAAGCCCCCAGATTGCAACACCGACAGTGGCTCTACGGAGCCTCTTTGAGAGAAATCGGCTCATTCCGAGCGATCATGGCGGCGCTCAGACCCCCAGCAGGCCCACAAAACGCATCCCAGAACCCCAGAAGGCCTCGGACAAGGCTGGTCGGAACAAACGACGCGTCACAACTTGCCACGGCAGCCGCAACTCCGTCAGCCTACTGGGGAGCGGCCGGGGATGGCGCCGCCGGCGTCCTCGATCTGAAACGAGGCGGAAAAACAAGAATGCGGGAAGGGGGAAGTGCCGTGTGACTACGAATGGGGGCACAAGGGAGTGGGACGGGAGATCGCCTGGGAAAACGCGCAGCGGCTGGGGCGGCAGAGGCAGGCGCGAGAGATCGGAGAACCACTCGCGACGTCTCCGTGGGCGGACGTGCGGAGCCGCAGGTCAGCCGCAGCCAGGCGGGGGAGGAGGAGGAGGAGGAGGAGGGGGAGGAGGGGGAGAAGGAGGAGGAGGAGGAGGAGGAGGAGGAGGAGGAGGAGGAGGGAGGAGGAGGAGGGGAGGAGGAGAGGGAGGAGGAGGAGGAGAGAGGAGGAGGAGGAGGAGGAGGAGGAGGAGGAGGTGGAGGAGGAGGAGGAGGAGGAGGAGGGTCTCCCTCCCCGCCAGTTTTCTCCACCGAGCACTCCTGGGAGGGGCGGGATGGCGCGCGGCCTGGCCTCTCCAGGGCGTTTGGTGGACAGCCCCCCGGCGAGCGCCCTGCGCGCCAGGTCATCCCCAGGAGCACGCGGCCCCTAGGAACTCGGACTCCCCGTCCTCGGGATGACACCCCGTGTGGGTCGAGGGGAGGTACGGCAGGCCATTCACACTGATCACACCGATGTGGTCCCCCATCCTCCTGGAGGTACGAGGCAGAGGCACAGGAGGGATGGGGGGAAGACACTGGTGTGCCAAACCGATGCCCCCCTCCAACAACAATTACGCTGCCCGGGAACCCCACACACTTCGTTCTAACCCTTGTGTTGGCATATAGCTTACGTGCAACATGCGTGGATGATGCTAGGTGGTCAAGAAAGTGCCACGCCTTCTGTGCCGTGGACGACCAAGGCGGATAGCGCCCCCACCCTCAGCGCACCCCCTGTGGCGTCGAGGAAATGCCACGCCTGCCACGCCGTGCGAGCCTGCAACGCATAGCGCCCCCACCCCCAGCGCACCCCCTGTGGCGTCGAGAAAATGCCACGCCTGCCATGCCCTGCGACCCTGCAACGAATTGGAGTCGCGATTAGGGATCACCCCCTGCGCACCCCCTTCTGGTGTCGAGAAAATGCCACGCATGCATCGCTCTCCGACCCTGGCACGCTAGTGTCGAGAAAGAGCCACGCCTGCTGTGCCTGGACGACCCGGGCGTATAGAGACCGCGGTGAGGGACCACCCCCTGCGCACCCCCGTTTGGTGTCGAGAACGTGCCACGCTTGCCGTGCCTGGACGATTGGGGCGCATAGAGACCGCGGTGAGGGACCGTCACCTGCGCACCCCCTGCATGGTGTCGAGAAAGTGCCGCGCCTGCAGTGCCTGGGCGACTGGGGCGCATAGAGACCGCGGTGAGGGACCATCCCCTGCGCACCCCCTTTATGGTGTCGAGAAAATGCCACGCCTGCTATGACTGGACGACTGGGGCGTCAAGAGACCGCGGTGAGGAATCACCCCCTGCGCACCCTCTATGGTGTCGAGAAAGAGCCACGCCTGCTGTGCCCGGACGACCCGGGCGTATATAGAGACCGCGGTGAGGGACCACCCCCTGCGCACCCCCTGTGGTGTCGAGAAAGTGCCACCCTGCCTGGATGGAGGTGTCGACCGAAAGAAAGGGCCACGCCTGCTGTGCCTGGACCACCAGGGCGTATAATGACAGCGGTGAGGGACCACCCCCTGCGCACCCCCTATGGCGATGAAAAATTGCGACGCCTGCTGTGCCTGGACCACCTGGGCGTATAGAGACGGCAGTGAGGAACCACCCCCTGCGTACCCCGTCTGGTGACGAGACCGCGGTGAGCAACCACCCCCGGCGCACCCCGTATGGTGTCGAGAAAGTGCCACGCCTGCTATGCCTGGACGACTGGGGCGTCTAGAGACCGCGGTGAGGGACCACCCCGTGCGCACCTCCTATGGTGTCGAGAAAGAGCCACGCCTGCTGTGCCTGGACCACCAGGGCGTATGGAGACCGCGATGAGGGACCACGCCCTGCGCACACCGCGCCCTGTTTGGTGTCGAGAAAGTGCCGCGCCTTCTGTGCCTGGACCATCAGGGCGTATAGAGACCGCGGTGAGGGACCACCCCCGTCGCACCCCCTTTGGTGTCGAAAAAGTGCCACACCTGCTGCGCCTCGACGACTGGGGCGCATAGAGACCGCGGTGAGGGACCACCCCTGCGCACCCCGTTCTCGTGTCGAGAAAATGCCACCTTGGCGATGCCTGGACCACCAGGGCTTTTAGAGACCCCGGTGAGGGACCACCCCCTGCGCACCCCGTCTGGTGTCGAGACCGCGGTGAGGGACCACCCCCTGCGCACCCCCTATGTCGCGGTGAGGGACCACCCCCCTCTGGTGTCGAGAAAGTACCACGCCTGCCGTGCCCTGCGAGCCCGCAACGCATAGAGACCGCACCCCCCGTGCACCCCCTCTGGTGCCGAGAAAGTGCTACGCCTGCCGTGCCGTGCCTTGCGTCTGTGTTCGTGTCCGTGTCTGTGTTGTGTGGTGTGTGGTGTGAAAGTGTCTGATGTGTGTGCGGCCGTGTCTATGGTAGGTGTGTATGCGAATGTGTACATGCGTGCGGTTGCATGTAGGCGCGTGTCTCATGTACGCGCCGTGCATATGTTGCCCGCGGGTGAGGGGAGGAATAAAGAGGAGGAGGGGAGGAGGGAGACGCGGTGTGTGAGCTTCGTGGGTGGGACGCGGGTGCGCAGGAAACAAGAACCCCACTAAGCACGTGGGGAAACATCATCCCGACATCTGGGCCTCCGGACCGTTGTTGCAAGGTGTCGGGTACATGCTCGCTGTTCTGCTAGTTCAGGGCTCAACGAGAATCACTACGTACATCAGAGTTGACTGAGGCAGCATCTGTAGAAAACAGCGTGGCTCGACGACGGACCAGACAGAAGCAGCAACAGCAGCAGCGGACGCCATGCACCCCAAACCAATGCCTGCATGTCGCCGACAGAGTACTCCTCCAAACAAATGGAACATTCCCGACAATCTTCTGGGGCTACCTGGCGGAGGCCAGCATTTGTACCAGACAACACGGAAGATCAGCACGTCTCTGCGTCATGGCAACGTTGTGAGAACGGCGATGGCGATTGAGAAAGATGCATAGCCATGCCGACAGGGAACTTATAATCATACGTGTCGACATCTGTATAGCAATGCACAGTCTACTGGAAAGGCTAAGCGCTCGTGCCAGAGATAGGATACTTCAGAATAGAGGCATGGCTGCGAACTTGGTGGCACAATGACAAAACAACACGAGCAATGCCGAGGAAGGAGACGCCTCCAGATCTCTACTGTCCACCTGGTGCTCTGACAGATGGAGCAGTGCTGCGTCCTGCCGCGCGGGCTGGCGAAGGACAGAGGACAAAGGACCGTGGCCAGTGTGCCAATCGACGGAAAACGTGCATGAAAGAGAACAAACACATCGCTGAAGATGAAGGGGCCCCAGGATACACAAATAAACACACACACAAATAAAAGGTCCCCCAGATGTTCGCATACTTGTTGGGTTTTTGACTTCCCCCCCACTTCCCATATTTTCCCATATTTTCCTGGGACTCGACCATTCATTGTGTCTGTGCTTTTTTTTCCTCTTGAGAGTCGGAGGAGCCGAAGGACGGCTGCAGGCTGGGCCGGGTGCCGACGGTGCCCGCACCGCGGGGCAGGCGCGGCCCGGCCCGAGGGCGGACCGCGCCCTGCACTCCCAGTCGCCAGGGCGACGCCCGCAGCGAGCTCCGAGCACCGCTCCTCCGATCCCCATCCCCAGCGGCGCGGCCTGGGCCCCACTGACCGATTTGCCCCCCTAGATTCGGGAGCGGCCAAGAGAGGGCGTCCGATCGGGGATGGACAGGCCCCCCTTTGGTAAAACGTGGCTTGGTGAAAACGACCTGAGGCCCAAACCTGGTGGGCGCAAGCCTGGAAAATAACGGCCACGGCGCCCTCTCGAGAACCGAAAACGGACAATTCACTAATCGACGTGTCACTGTTGGGGGTTCTGTCCACCCCCGATCCAAGAGGGGGGGGTGCAAATCATGACCGGCGGCATGTGCGCGGCCCAGCGTGGGGGCCAGGGACGTAATGAAATAAGAAGAGGCGCCATGAAATCATGGGAAATATCATGGCCCACACCATGATATCCACCCCCCCTAGTCATCACCCCCCTCTTTGCCGCCCCCGATAGATAGGGATAGAGGCCGTTCCCTCTGGGTCTCGAGGGGTGCATCCCCAACCAGGGGTGGCCATTTGGTGGGGGTCTCGAAGGGGATGGGGATAGGGATGTGGATCGGATGAACGACGCTGCAGCTCCCGCGCGAGCGGACGAGCTCGCTCTCCCTGGTGCTGGGGGGCAACCAGACGCCGACCGACGGAGGACTTGAGCAGGGACCAACCATCCCGGCATTCCTATAGTCCTACCACGAAATGTTCCTGGAACCCAAAACAGTTCTAAGAACATGAGCAATGTTCTTAGAACATAACCCCCATGTGCTGAAGCAAAACAATCTCCGCCAGAAATGTTCTAAGAACATTTCGTGGAAACCACAAAAGGTTGTTACAACATTGTTTGGTAGGGCTATGGGCGAGCCAGGGCGCCTCGCCACAGCTTGAGGGACACGTGGACGGCACGCTGCCCCGAGCCGCGCTGCCCACGGGCTGCCTCCCAGGCAGGCAGCGGAAGTGTGCGCGGCCTCCACCGGCGGAGCTGGGAGGCCGAGCTGGAGGCCTGCCAGGGCCGTCAGACCTCCAGCTCGGACGGTGGGGGTCACCACAGGGCTGGACCTCAACAGTCTTTTGCGTTTGCGGACTGTTCTCGTTTTCCCTCGTTTTGTCTTGAGTTCGCCGTCGCTGCAAAGCGACATCGAAAGGAAAACGGCCCACGACATCGCCAAAACATCATTTAGGTCCACCCCTGGGTCACAAACACAAATATGCACCCTGGTTGTCGCCGTGAGCACAACGGAGACCGGACGCTGAGTATTACGTCCCCCGACAACACACGATAGCACGTGGCGCTTCGAGAAGGAAATGGGCATGAGGCAAGGAGGGCAGCCTGTGGTTCCTCCTGCCTCTGTCCCCCCATCCTTGCTCGCTCCCCGCTCGCTCTCCGTCTCCTGTGTCAATCGCTGCCTCGGCTTGAATGAGGGGCTTGGTCTTAGGCTGCGCCTTGCTGCTTGCACCGATGAAAGGGGAGCGAAGCAATCAGCGACAGATCAGCCATATAGCTTGGAGCGCCCGGGAACCATGCCGCCCAGCTCATTTTCTCCTGTACATCTGCCGTTCGGGGAGCTGCGCTTCCACTGTCTCATCAGCCTCAAGCAGAACACCATGGCCCATGGCCGAGGAGGCAATCGACGGTGGCGGCTTCCACACCAGAAATGAGTACAAGCAGGAGGTGAAGCTATGGTGGCTATCAGAGGAGATAAAGGCCAACCAATGCCCGACGAGCCATCGCGGGCTCGCTAAGCCTGCGGCAGCATTAGCCCGTTTGTAATTTGTGTGGACACCGTGTGGACCGTCGCGGATGTCAAGATTGCGAGCGGGAATAATGAGTCGTGAAACACCCGCAGCGTTGCGAATGTCATCCAGCACGTCGAAACCAGACTAAGGCAGCAGAAGCCCTTGCACAGAGCGAGACGGTACATAACCTCGACAAGAGCACAAAACGTCATCCTTAGAGTGGGGAGCAAATGACGGACTTGCAGAGAGGACAGCATTTCAGGGATACCGACGTCGACTTCAACCTCTCGGACATGATTCATGTATTCGGGGTCTGGACTCATGGCAGAACGGCGTAAGCGGGTGATTACCCACTTGGCAGCGAACTCCTGGCTGGGACTTCTTCTTTAGATTACCTCTGCAAGACGCAATCACATAGTAAGTCTTACTGAAAGACGTCGCGGCGTTCTGGTCCGAGCTCGGATTCGCCGTGGACATATGAAACTCAAGCGACAATACGAAAATGTGGTGGAGGATGACAACAAGGACAACCCCGCCGATCTGTGTGAGGGGTGTTAATGTTTACCCATCCCAGCAATTCAGATCACACGCTCAGGGCGTAGTAAAAATCTCCGTTTTGGGCCTCCCCCCCTCGCGAGGTCCATCAACAAGGAACAGTAAGCAGCAAGAAGTCAACGAGGAACAGTAAGCAGCAAGAACCAGAATTGTAACAGCGGAAACTGGAAGGAAGCTGCAACTGGTGTAGAAAACTGCGAAGCTTCGGCCTACAGCCTGGTGGCCCCGCAAGGGGGCCGGCGGATTTGGTCCTGGTTGAGCCATGCTGTCCTTGCCATTTGGTGGTCGCGAGCACATCGCGGTGCTCACAGGCGCGCTGTGGTGCGATCAAGCTGCTGAATTGTTCACGAGACAATCGGCTGCGTTCGCAACCAGATTGCAGTATTCGCGGGCTGTTGTGGTACCCGCCGCGCTGTCCATCATTCTGCCGCGCGTCACTGCAGTACCGTCGTGGCGCTCGCGGGCTGCGGCGGTATTTTTCTTTCAGTTCCTGGAGGGTTCGAGGTTCCTGGGGGGAAAAAGTCAGGGGACGACCTTTTTACTATTTTTGAGCATTTTGGGGTACTTGTAGGGAGACATGTCCGACCTAGTTCCAGGGGACCCTGGAGGATCACCAGAGATTCCCTGGAGAGTTCCAGCTGCAGGGCGACTTCTGGAGATTCCAGGGGGCCCCTGCGGGTCACTGTGGAGTTTCGGGGGCCACCGAAGGGTTGCTGGAGAGAGTCCAGGGGCCCCTTGGTGGGTCACCGGAGAGTCCCTAGAGAGTTCCTGTTGAAAGTAATTCAGAGGAGATTAGGTTGATAGACCTCCTACCCTGACAAGCCGATTAGCGAATTGGCCGTTTTCGTTTCGCGAGAGGGTCGTGCGGCCGTCATTTTTGCGGGTCCAGGTCCGTCGGTTTCGGTCCTAGGCTGTTTACACTAATGGGTTGTTTACTAAAGGGAGGCTTGTCCACCGCCGATCATTTGTAATCTGAACCTGCCCAGGCGGGAGGGTTAACAACCCAGGTGACGGTGAATCACGCGTGATGCTCGAGGGCATCCCGTGTTACGCTCATCGAAGCGCGCGCAAGGATTTTGTAATTTTGGCAGGGTCAATGGTTCTTCTCCTCGCCATGCGGCTCTGCGATCACGCGAGGAGCTCTTCCGAGCCCTACTGCAGGACTACGCGAGCGCTGCGCAACTGCCGGGGGCACGGTGTGTTTGTGAGAGAGAGAGAGAGAGCGAGAGAGAGAGAGAGAATGTTTGCGTGCCGCGTTTCGTCGTTGCCCCCCCCCCACACTGCGCCCCTTGCAGCCGTGAGTACGAGCTGCCGTCGTGGACTCTGCGCCCTGGCGCTCGCTCGCGCGACGCTCGCTCAGAGAATGTCTGCGTGCCGCGCGTCGCTGTTGCCCCCCCCCCTGCAGGCGGCCCGGATCAGCAGGTCGACCCCGCCAGACCGAGGGTGCCCTCGTGCCCTGTGTCTTGCGACCCGTGCCTCCCGCACTCCTGTGGCAGCGTGGCCCCCGGCAGGGTCTCGTGTCCTCTCGCGTGCCCTGTCCGATCGAGTCCGACCGTACTGGGGGAACAAAAAGCGACATAAACATAAAAAACTCGGAGGTCCGCGCGGGCTTCTCGGATGCGCGGAGCGCGCCAGGGGCGGCGCCAGAGGCGCCGCCGGGGGGCCCCAGCGCCGATCCGAGAAATCCGCGCGGACCTCCGAGTTTCTATGTTTACGTCACTGTTTGTTCCCCTTATGTACTGCGCCCCCTGCAGCCGGGAGTGCACGCCGCCGCCGTGGACTCGGCGCCCATGGCGCTCCGTGCGCGCGGCGGCCCTCGCTGCGTCGGGGCCTGGCGGGCACGGGGCCCCGTCGGCGCGCCGCCCGTGCAGCGGCGTGGCCGCTCCCCGCCGCGGGCCACGAGGGCAGCAGCGGTGGAGGGCTGCGGCGTCGGCCGGCGTGGGAATCCGTCGGGAGGGAACAAGAACAAACCACACAGACACGATTCATCGTCGATTCCCAAACGAATATGGGAAAATGTGGGAAGTGGGGGGGGAGACAAAAAGCCAGAAACTATGGGAAACCAGGGGGAATCTGGTTATTTGTGCCTATTTCTTGTGTGTCCCAGGGCCCTTTCAATCATGGCAGCTCTGCGGAATCACTAGTGCCTTCCCGCGATGCCTTCTTGGCCGAGCCACCCTCGCCTCGGCCGCGCACTCCCATGTTGGACCCCCGCCTGTCGCTACTGATGGTGTCGTCGCGCCGGTCACCCGGTGGCCGCCTCCGTCTTCGGCGCGATGGCGGCATCGGAGAAACTGCCTACGTCGACGCCTGAGGCT